TCTTTCCCCCCCCCCCCCCCTCGGCCCGTTCCGTCGTTCGCGCTCGCTGCAGTCGTGCTTTAAACCGCGAGTGTTGCCCGCGCTCTATCCCGCGGGGGCCCGCAGTGATTTCGAGAATGTAACAGTGCGCGTCCCTCCCTCGTCGAGCTCGAGCGAGGAATAGTGGACGGCGATGGATGTCTGGTGCCGTCGTCGCGGCGTCGTGTCACGGTGAAAGAGCACAGCGCGTGGAAACGAAGAGATAGAAGAAGAAGAAGAGAGAGAGGAAGGACGGACGATGCGAGCGGAAAATGTCACTCGGTGATACGCGCGCACGGATGACGGGGAGTGATCGACGGAGCGACGGTCACGAGTCTGAGGTTGTTAGAAGAGTGTCGCCGCGGCGACGGTGGTGGTGGTGGTGGCAGCAGCGACGGTCGTCGTCGTCATCGTCGTCGCTACGTGGTGCCGCCGACGCGGTGGTGGTGCCGGTATTGGCGACGGCACGAGCGCCGGCTCGCCGGGTACGACGTTATCGCGTTTCCTTGCGGCCGCGGGCATCGTCGAAATCGGACTCCTCCTGCCGCTCGACGACAACGTCGTCGTCGTCGTCGTCGCCGCTGCTGCTGCTGCGTTGTCAACAGCTGGCGAGAGTCGCGGCGGCCAGCACCTCCTGAAGAGGCTCTTTTTTTTCTCGCGACGCGACGTCGCCGGGATATATACACCGCGCGGCATTACCGTCTCTCTCTCTCGTAAAGTGCATACGTATACACACCTACACACGTAAAACTTAACCCGTTGGTGTGTCGGGTCGCGAGGTTAAGGCACCGCGTCGCCCTCGATACGCGACGGCCGAGGAAAGTAAAGGCCGGGTGTCGTGCGTGCGCCGACCGATTCGTTTCGTGCTCACCCTCTCTCCCCCCCCCCCCCCGCAGCCCGCCCTTCCTTCTCTCCGTCTTCTCACCACACATCGCCTTTTCTCCCTCCCTTCCTCGCCTCCGGTCTCTTCTTTCTCCTCTGTGTGTCTGTCGCCTGTATGTGACGGATAAGAAGCGTATACGACCATCTATCAGTAGTAGCAGCAGCAGCGCGCGCTCGCTCGCTCGCTCGCTCGCTCGCACGTCCGTCGGTGGTGTAAGCTTCGCCCGGGTGTTGTGTGCGTGCGTACACGCGTACGTGCGTGCCGCGGGGTGCGTTTTCTAACGTCGTCGGACACGACGACGACGTTTTCACCGTGGTGTCCGCGATGCCGACAGTGACTCGCGCAAACGGCCGTCGTGCAGATTGCCCGCGAGGATACCGCGAGATGTCCGTCGTCGACGATCATCAGAGCGAGGACACGTGAGGAGGTGGGGTCCGTTTTGGAGTACGCGAGCTACGAGAAAGAGAGGAGGACGAGAGGTAAATGAGAGTTCAAGGTCAGCCGGCGGTGCTGTTGGACCCGAACTCGTTTACACGACCAAAAAAAAAAAAAAAAACACTTATTCGGAGGAGAAGGTGGACCGTTCCTCGTCGTCGCTCGTTGGAAGTCGGAAATATCACCGGTGTGAGAAACGCACACGCCAGCCGATCAGAGAGAGAGAGGGAATCGGAGCTCCACCGTTTGGACTGTCACCCTATTTCGGGACCGTGATCCAAAGTGCGCGCGAGATACGCGCGCGCTCGCGGGCACAAATAAGTATACACGCGAACGTCGCGACTGTGTTGTGTATGTGTGTGTATGTGAGGGCTCCGTCGTCTGTGATTTTTTCGAGTGCGCCGGAAAGGTGTTTTCCGTTGACAGTGCGTATTTGATGCTCGCTGAAGGGAAGAAAGAAGAAGAAGAAGAAGAAGAAGAGGAAGGAGACCTCGTGGAGGTGGGTACTCGAAGAGGAAGGTCGTCCGCGACCGAGCGCAAAGTGTGTGAGTGTGTGTGTGATCCAGTCCCCCCAGCCGTTGTTGGAGTCTCCTATTGTTTTCCTACGGCGGCTACGTTGAAAAGGACTGGCCACCAAATGCGCGTACCGCAAATCCTGTTTCATGTTGATGTTCTGGAGCAAACGGACGGTGCTCACTAGACGTCTGCTAAAGGCCAAGGTCCGTGGGGAGCATGAAACCGAGTGTGAAGCTCAAGAGGATTCATCGTCACGTACGTTTCATCGCACGAGCAGCAGCAACGCGAGCGGCGCCGCCGCCGGCTACGACAACACGGGCAGTAACAACAACAAAGCGACGACGACGACGACGACGAGCCGACAAGTGAGCAGTAGAGTTACAGGACCAACGTTGTCGGGGACCGGCGCGGGGGCAGGAGGAGGTGGGGCGGTGGTTTACGGGGGACGCAACACCGCGGCCAGTAGGCTGCATCAGGGCTGTTGCGGCGGCGACACCAGTCAGGATGACGATGAGCAGCAGCAGCAGCAGCAACAACAGCAGCAGCAGGATCCCGGTCGGTTGCTGAGGTGCAAGGAACTCCTCAAGTCGCTCAAGGAGAATCAACTGGAGATGCTGCTGACCGCCGTCGAGAGCTACGGCGCCGACCTAAGCTCGTGCGTTCTCGTGCCGCGTCAGGTCGAGGACTATCCCTACGATCAGCAGCACGAGCAGCAGCAGCAGCAGCAACAGCAATATCACGGCAGCAGGCTACATCGTCATCATACCCGTCATTTTCATCAGCGCCGTTATCGTCAGTATCGACACCACCGCTCCAGCAGGCATCATCGCTCGTCCTCCGTCGAGGACGACCAGGAGAGCTGCTGCTCCGCGTCGGAGGATTCCTCGTCCGCGTCGCCGATGAGATCGGCGAGAAACGGTAGCAGCGGTGCCGTCGTACCGATGAGAGGATCAGCGGTCGAGAGGAGCCCCGGCGCCCCGTGCGACCCGCACCTGCTCTGCTGCCAGATCTGGCGGTGGCCGGATCTCGAGCACTCCTCGGAGCTCAAGAGACTACCTATATGTCATTCCGCTAAAGATCCCGTATACATATGCTGCAACCCTTATCACTGGAGTCGACTCTGCAGACCCGGTAAGCGAAAAACGTCTTTGCTTCCAACGTGTAGGTTTTACAGAGAGAAAGCAAGTCGATTCGAACCGAATTCCCGCGTACAGGACTTTAAAAATGTTAACTAATATGCGTTAGAATTCTAGTAAATTTTATGCAATTATAAATCGAACCGACCAGAATTTCCGAAAAGTACGAGTTATGTAATTAATTCATCAATAATATATCTCAACTCTCAAAACGTTATACCCTACAACTTGCCTGCCAGTGGTTTATCACTATCGAATTAACAGTAACATTTTTACTTTTAAAAAATAATTTCTTATATAGATTTAACTAAAATTGACGTAGAGAGCGATATTATTTTAAAATAAGTATAAAACAACGTATTGTAAATTTTAATTATGCTAAATGTCTGATCAATCAATTGAATGTGAAACTACATTTATGGAAAATACATGCAAAGAATCGGAGTCGCATTAGCACTATACGTTTTTTTTTATTTTTCGGGGACTTTTCGCGCAGTATCGTTTAACGTTTATCAGACGTGTCTAGTCGTCGCCGCCGGTGGTGTCTAAACGACGACGGCGGAATAATTTAACGTCGTAACGTACAACTGTCTACATTATAACACTAGGCCGCAAACCGAGCGCTAATCGTCACCTGCTCGGACCTGCTCGATGCTAACGAGCTTAAAGGCTCAAGCCAATGTAAAACAGAATTTATTAACGGTAGACCGATGTCTACCTGCTTACATTCAAAATGTAGACAAATATAGGCAATACGTACGGGAGAGGACCGTAGTGCTAACAGTTTTTCATCGCCGCGCGCGAGAAAGCCGAACAGGTGAACGAGAAATAGAAACACCTGTTACTTCTATGACAGATAAAAAATGTCGTAAAATCACGGGATAAAACTTCCCAAGATTGGCGCTTATCGATAGTGAATTTTTACAATATAAAATGCTAACAATTATATAAATACAATAAGAAAAGGCAAAAGAGTCAAAAATTTGTAGATAACGTTTAATACACAAACATCACAAATTAAAAGAAATACAGACAACGATCGGATCATTTTCAATGCTAATATAACAGAACTTTAGAAGATATGTAAATTATTTGTGATTTTCTTAATTTGATGCAACTCATTGTTAATGTTCTTGAATCTTTTTATTGTAGACTGTTCATAATATTTCTGCTTTCTTAGGAATATTTGTTAATATCAACTTTTATATTATAAAATTAAATTACAGTATTTTCTTCGATTAAGAAAAATAATTTAGTTTAAAATATCGAAATATATATACATAAAAAACGATTTTGTTGAAATAATTAGAAATTTAACTAAATACAGATCTGAACATAATTTTAGATTACTAAAATAATTATGTAGAAAACTCATGCATAATGTAATATACAAGTAATATGTAATGCTGAAAAAAAAATTTTAATAATTGATTTCTAATAATTAATTTAATTATTGATAATTTAATAAAAATTATTTTCAGATCTATGTGCGTATTCAGTTTCTGAGTGCTTTAGCAAAACTGTGTATTCTTTCCATACGTTCTCTTTTCCGGATACTCTTTAAAAAAACATTCATTTTTCAAATACTAAACTATTGACAAGTAGATATTCAAACCCGATGACAAACATCAATCTTTTTTTTTTTTGTCAGAGTTTATGTCAATCTTATAACCTCATAACATCGCCGCCTCAACTTTCCAACAGTTAAAAATGGTCAAGCCGAAAGATTATTTTGAGTTTATTTACCATAGCTTTCCCACAAAATCCAAATTTGTCATACCTGTCAAGAGTTTTTCTGTAAGATACAAAGAAACGAGACGGACGTGTTCAAAAAAGGATTCATCAATATCTGACGGATGATGGGAAAATGAGAAACCAACACTGACAATGAGTCATCGGTAAACTGTACAAGCTCGTGTATTGTTGAGGAAACTTAACGAAGAAAATATCGCAAATACAAACATTATCATTTAAAAAAATATTTTAACGATGTTTCCAATAATTACCGATTTTCGTTATCTTTTATTGTTTCGTAATATAATGATACGTGCACTTTACATATTTAACTTAAATGTCGGTCTTTGAAGTTTCTTCAAAGACACCTTTTGGAATGATGTCTTTATAAATAGATAATAACTGTGCCTAAGTCTGTGACACACGTCTTTACTGTTTACGCCGTGATATTCGTCATGTTTAAAGAAAATGTGGAATTTATTATGGACCTTGTGGCACACATACACACACACCGGCCTGCCTATCTCGGGTCTGTCGCCTGCCTTGTTCGGCGACGTGACTTCGTCCGCAAAAAAGCGTCGCGTCCTATAAAGCGGGAGGGAACGAGAGTGGAAGCGAAACGAGCAGGCGCCAGCAAAATGCGCCTTTACGTAACCCCGACGATCGTTTAACCCGTCGCCGCCACCAAGCCGAGCGAATTCGATCGTGCGAACCGTGGCGATACGGTGTTTCAATAAGTACGTCGAGTTTCGATGAAAGAAAGTTATCTTAAAACGTGTCGATCGGAATGATATAAAATTTAAAAGAGGGATAATTGGTTTGTGAATATATTTCAAATGTATAAATTTACATAAAAAATTTAAAGGATATATATTCTCAAGCATCTTTCCGCTACAATTTACAAAATATATTCGAATATTTGCTAAAGAATTGGACTTTGTATGATAATAATTTATTGCCTGAGTCTTGAGTCATAAGAAATCGAATTTGATTCTATTCTTTTCATATTCGACTGTGATTGGTTAGGTTTTATAGCTTAAAACTAAAAGCTTATAATAACTTATTATAGAAAGCTCATTAAACTCAATTCTTCGGTAATTGGAACGTATTTTGTAAATTGCTAGAAAAAAATGTTTGAGAATATACCCTTTAAGTTTTGAACATAAATTTGAAGGTAATGACTTATTGCAGGAAGTCCAGAAGATCGTTAAAACTCGTTTAAATGGAAAAAAGTTATACAATATCGAAAGTTATCCAATACCGCGAAATTATATTTTTTTTAGTTTAATTTTACATCGCGCTTCTCTTGGACACATCGTACGTATGCACTCGTACTCGGGCATCAGACGGCACACGCCCCGGATTATAAATAGAAAACTTTATATAATAAATATTCTATAACAACAAGTTTAATCGTATGGAATTAACGAGCGTTAGGCGGCGGCGAGAACCACGCCTCGAGAACGTATTTAATATTTCTCATAATCAGATAGGAAGGAGAATATGCCACGTGAGTCGATAAATAAATACCAGCTAATAACGTCATCGAATCCACGACGCGAAGACGCTCCCTTCTATCATGAGCTTCGTTCAGCGGACTCAACAATCGAGAGCGAGCATTCGCCATTATTAACGTATTTTTCTAGCTATGGAAGCCTGATGATTGGATAATCTAGAAGAATATCAGCGAGCTACAACTGTTGAGCCTGTTGAACGCAGTCGTGCAGTATCATCGCACGATTAGTGTTTAGAATGCAGAGAGTCTGGACATTTCAACAAAAGTCCCTTAAAATGACGTACAAAATGTGCACGGAAAGAACAACAGGTCTGTTCGCGTTGCTAAAAATGAGATAGACGTATATTTGCGTGAGCGTTGGAAAAGAGAAAACGAAAATGCTGAGGGCAAAAAGTGTAAACAACGTTTAAGCAGACCTAATTTTGCTGAAAGATATTTGCTGCAACGCATACAGATTATAATTTTGTTGGACAGTACACTCGTGTCCATTTCTGCCAATGTATTAGATTAACTTCGACTTATAGTTTAACTAACTTTTTATTTCGCCTTTTATTCTTCTCTTTCTAAGAATTAGAAAAAAATCAGGAATTTTAATCTTACTTGCCTACTTTTTATCTTGTTCTAGTTCTAGGAATGAGAAAAAGAGTAATTTAACCTGAGATTGGTAGAAATGAGTATTAGTGATGACAGATGAAATGAGCGAGTGTTCGATCGAGAGTCATCGGCTGCGAATCACATCGGTCGCTCGTTCGGCAAAGTTATAAAAATCGGCGAGACGAGTGCCTATAATATCGACACTCTCTAATCGTTTGAAAGACTAAAGACGCGATATTCCGTACGAGATTGCTGAGAAAAGTGCGGCTTTTTCTACGTAAACACGACGCCCGTGAACGTGACCATTCACGCGAGTGCCCACCGGCGCCGGTGGCCTAATCGTGACGACGATTCGTTACAGTCGAGCGCGCCACAAGCACGTTTTATCGATAATATCGAGCGTTTATGGCTGGAAAATCGTATCGAATAGGCGCGACCGATCCGCCGGCGACACCTCCGCAGAAAAAAGATCGCGAAGGTGCGCGAGATAAAATCGCGACCGTGTTTCGTAATTAACGGCGCGCGACGCCGAAGAAAATAAACGGATCCTTCGAATTCCATGCTGAGGTTTCCACGGCTAATAATAGCGCGTGGCTGCGGCCGCATATGCACGTCGTCCGAGGAAGCCGGCACATTTGGGAAAAGAGAGAGAGAGAGAGAGAGAGAGAGAGAGGGGCGGGAGAAAGCGAACGAGAAGCGGCCGCGTAACGACGAAATAGTCAGCTCCGCGGAGACACCCCGCGCTCTTCGGAAAGACAGATCGGATTCTCGCCGCTGCGCTGACGCGGGGAGAAGGGGCGAAGGAAAGACTCGAGATGCGGAGAGAAAAGGAGGAAATCGAGCGAATGTAGGTAGGACCTGCGCGTATTATATACGGATGAGAATTAAAGAGCGAGAGAACGGCGGCATTTACCAATAACTACACAATCAAAGTTATGACCAGAAGGAAATGAATCTAAAAATAAAAACGTATATATGTATATTGGGCGAGTCAGTCGCGCGGCTGGCGGAAAGACGGTGACGCGAGAGTGGGAAGGGTTGGTCGACCGGCAAGACGGTGGCGGCGGCGGCGGCGGCGGCGACGACGACGGCGGTGGAGAGAGAGAAAGAGGGCGCGAACAGACGCGACGGGATGAACGGACAAACTGACG